TCTAAAGTTGGTGTTGAGGGTATGAATTTTGTGTTGAGGTGACGAACATGCTAAGTGACGGGTGTGTGGGTGTGCATAATGTGAATTATGACTCGGTCGATTCTGTGGTACTGTGTAGTTATCTAATCTTGTTTCTGTCCGCGAAATTCCTACGTGTTAAAGTAATCGAACTGTGATCCATGTTAGAAGCCATGTTTAGGCTATATGCTTATTCTGTTGGGATCCACAGAGGTCATTTCTGCTGTTGAATTATTTTCTTAAATTGCAATTACATACCCAGTCATACTCATTCGTTTCATATCATATCTCAGTCTCTGTTATAATTTGTCTCACATCATATTATCATTGTTTGGGCTGATTGACACGAGATTTGTGAGGCTGAGAGACTGGAGAGGATGATGACTGAGTGAGACCAAGGGCTTGATTATGAGTGATATTTTTGGGATCGGGCTGCACGCCGCATCAGGCTTTATTGATTCATGTCATGATTGACTTATATTAGCGCTTGAGCAGGATCAACCCCTCCGGAGTCTGCCATACCAGCATTGAGCGTAGGTACCTACTAAGTGCGAGTGCCGAGTGACTGGAATGACTAAGTAACTGGGAGGACCGAGTGGCTGGGAAGATTGAGTGACTGGGTGGATTAAGTGACTGGGAAGACTGAATGACTGAGCGTGCTGAGTGAGGTTGACTGCTCCGAGAGCATGAGCACATGAGTTTATCACTGTGGTGCATTGCACTTGACATGAATACTTGGCACGTAGGCATAGAGATGCATTTTTTCATGTTGTATGGTATTTTGACATTCATGATTTCTCATGCACATTGACATGTAGGCATAGAGATGAATTTTTCCCATGTCATCTGATAATGAAACATCCTATCTGTTGTTGAAAGTTGTTGGGAAAAATCTCAATTTTTTAATATACTCACATTTGGGTGATTTCGGAGAAAGATTTGGGTTTTTACTGTTATACCTGAAAAACATACCTATCTTCCGTAACTGTGAATGAGTTGAGCATCGTATATTTTAGTTATTACTTGCACTGCTTTAGTTATATTGTTACAAGTTATTATTGGCTATTGGTGTAGGACTTTGACCATTGTACAAGCTCGTCACTGCTTTCAACCTAAGGTTAGGTTTGTTACTTATTGAGTACATGAGATTAGTTGTACTTGTACTACACTTCTGCACCTTGCGTGTAGATTTTGGATGTTGATGTTGCTGTGTATGGTGGGATCTGGCATTGAAAATGTACATGCGTTCCAGACATAACTGTCTTTTGTTCTTGGTAGCTTTAGAATTATTAATCTGCTCACGTATAGTTCAAACAGCTGATGTATTTATTTCATACCAGCTTTGTAAACTCTAAATTTTAGAAGCTCGTGATTTGTATTACCAGTCCTTGGGAAGTGTATAAAAGTTCAGTAATTTCTTCATTTATTTTCTGAGTAAATCCCATTGAATTACATTGTTGTTAATTGGCTTACCTAGCGGGTTGCGTTAGGTGCCATCATGATTAATTGGATTTTGAGTTGTGAAATCATTTAAGCATTGTGGTTCCATATTCACATGAAAATATTACACTTTTTAGCACTTGTGAATAATCCAAAGGCTTCTAGGAAGGTTTTCAATCCCCTTTACATCCACATAGCGTGAAACTCCCCTTTGCAAAATAATAGAACATCATCTGTAAAGCATAGATGATTCAATTTAATCCATTTACACCTTGTATGATACTCAAACTATCTTGCTTAGTAACCGGATTCATTATTCTAGAGAAGTACTCCATACATCCAATTCCCTCTTTCCTTCTATGCATCCATTTTGTCCTCCATTCAAAGCTATAGTGTATTGAGTTGTGCTTATTCAAGTCATCACCCATTCTATAATTTGTAGAGGAAATTCAAAGCATGCATCATTTTTTCTATAAATTTTCATTCTACAACATCATATGCTTTTTAAGATCAATCTTTATCAAGCATCTCTTAGTAGTATTTCTCCAATTGTATAGTCTTACCAAGTCCCGTACAGATGATGATATTTTGCACAATTGTCCTCCCAACTACAAAAGCACTCTGATTATCAACACTTATATCAGGTAGTACTCCTTTCAGTCGTTTGCACATCATTCTGAGATCAACTTATAGACCGTATTGCAATAGTAAATAGGTTTATAATTTCCCACCCCTATTGCATGAGTACTTTTAGGTACAAAAGTAATAACAGTGTTGTTTAGAGATTTCAGCATTCATCTAGTTTCGTAAAATTCAGACTCATTTAGTAATACCTTTCCCACAATTGCCTAGCAGTCCTTGAAAAGCTTACTTCCATACTCGTCTAGTCCTGGGGGCTTTTCAACTACTATTGCTTATAGTGCCTCTTTAACATCTGCTTTAGTAAAGTCTTTTCTAAATAGCTCCTCTGCTCTTCTAATACTCTTGGGCCTTCCCACATTAATACTCTGCATACATGCTATCTTTCATTCCTTTTTGGTACCCTGTAACTTCATGTTAAACTCAATAAAATCATGTGCTACCTCCTTTGGATCATTTTTAGTATTCTCATTGGAATCGGTAATAGTGAACACTCTATTACCAATCCTTCTACACTTCATCATTCCATGAAATAATTTGGTGTCTTTTTCTCCATATTTCAGCCAATCTATCTTGCATTTTTAATTCAGATATTGATCCCTAGCAGACTTCCTTTTACTGCACTCTTGTGCGAGTTTTCCTTCTTTTTTTTTTTTCTTACCAGGTTTCTTTTTGTTAGATTCACCTATAATTTTATCTGACATGCCTTTAGTCTCTCCAGGGCCACTTATTCCTTTTTCTCTACCTCACTAAATCTTTCCTTGTTTAGCTTTTGCAAAATAACTTTACATCTATTTAATTTTCCTGCCATTGGGTATATTTTTGTTCCCGAAATAGGAGGTCTCTAGCCTTTTTCTAGTCTCTCTTTGAATTCAGGTACAATGCTCCATATATTGAAGTATTTAAATTCTTTCCTTTGCTTTTTTCTTTCGTCTTCCCAGTTGATTATTGCATGGCAATGATCATGGAGCCCCTCATTCATGTAATGCTCATCTGAGTCTGAAATATTAACGCTCCATTCTTTATTAACTAATATCATGTAAATTATGCCGAATACTTCTCTTCCTTGCTTATTATTCCATGTAAAGAATGATCATGAGGATTTGAGATCCTGCAGCTCACAATCATTGAGATATTTCCTAAAATCTCTTCTGCCATTGTAACTAGTCTACAAATACTTTCACCCCCATTAAGCACACTGTTGAAGTCACCCATTACTACACATGCCCCCTTTACCTGAGCATATCTCATTTATATCTATCCACAAACTCCTTCTTAGAGGTAGATCGTTATAAAGATATAACATTGTAATACATAATTCATGTTATGTGCATATATGAATGACTTCACAATGAATAAGCTGCTTGCTACTTTACTTATATTTACCCCAAATATTCCTGATTTCCACAACAATCTTATCCCCCCC